TAGGAGCGAAACGTCTTCTGTTACAAATAAAGTCCAGTTGTTTTTGTATTGAACGCTTTTTGAATTTATCTGATAGATTCCAGTTTGTAAATGTAAATAATAAAACTTCTTCATACACCAACGTTAGTCATGGAGTTCCTCAGGGCTCAGTGCTTGGGCCAATACTTTATATATGCTTCCGTTAGGTAAAATTATTAAACCGCATGGGATAAATTTTTATTGTTATGCTGATGACACACAATTATATTTGTCCATTAAACCCAATGAATCCAATCAGCTACTTAAACTACAAGCATGTCTGAAAGACATAAAAACCTGGATGACCCTTAATTTTCTCCTGTTGAACACAGACAAAACTGAGGTTTTGGTTTTTGGACCCGAGCACCTTAGGAATGCATTTTTCAGTCTTTCTCCCTCCTTAGATGGCATTAATATGTCCTCCAACTCTAATGTTAAAAATCTTGGTGTTATTTTTGATCAGGACATGTCTTTTATCCCCCACATTAAAAACATTACAAGAACTGCCTTCTTCCACCTGCGTAACATCACTAAAATTAGAAACATCTTATCTAAAAATGATGCAGAAAAACTGATCCATGCATTTGTCACATCTAGACTGGACTATTGCAATGATTTATTATCTGGGTGTCCTAATACTTATTTAAAACATCACCAGTTGATCCAAAATGCTGCTGCCAGAGTCTTAACTGGAGTTAGTAGGAGAGATCATATTTCTCCAGTTTTAGCTTCTCTCCATTGGCTCCCTGTCAAATCCAGAATAAAATTCAAAATCTTACTTCTAACCTACAAAGCTCTCGACAGCCTGGCTCCAGCTTATATTACAGATCTTATTGTTCCATATTTTCCTAACGGAGCGCTTCGCTCTCAGACTGCAGGTTTACTTGTGGTTCCTAGAATTTACAAAAACAGAATGGGAGGCAGATCTTTCAGTTATCAGGCTCCTCTCTTGTGGAACCAACTTCCAATCTCTGTCCATGAGGCTGACACATTATCCAGTTTTAAAACTTGGCTTAAGACTTTCCTTTTTGATAAATCCTATAGTTTGGGTCAGCTTGGGTTTCCTGAGCTGTCCCTTAGTTATGCTGCTATAGGCTTAGACTGCTGGAGGACAAACTGACCCCACGTTTCACTGCTACTGTCTTTACTTACTCTGCTCAACCTGTTTTGTATTTGTAATTATTTTTTATATCCTTAACATGTGTTTTTTTTTTTTTTTTTTGTCTTTCAGATACACCTGGACCTATACCTGGACCTACCATTCTGTGTTCGTCTGTCTCTCCTTCCTGTCCTTTCAAACCAGCCGGTCAAAGCAGATGGCCGCTTGTCCTGAGCCTGGTTCTGCTGGAGGTTTCTTCCTTTTAAAAAGAGAGTTTTTCCTTTCCACTGTTACCACTGTGCTTGCTCAGGATGTGAGACTGCAACGAAGCCAAGATTCAACTTGTCTGATGGATTCCTTAGATAGAGAACTTTACTAATTGGCTTTTATGTATGTGAATGTTCCTGTAAAGTGCCCTGAGACAACTTTGTTGTAATTTGGTGCTATATAAATAAACTGAATTGAATAAAAAAAGATCCTAGACATGAGAAAAAAATGTATTAAAAGGACGAATGCTCATTTTGTCACTAAGAAACGTTCTCTGACATTGTATTAGTTAATTCGATCCTTATCTTTTACAAATGGACTGTACTTATACAGCGCTTTTCTATCTGAACAAGACACTCAAAGTGCTTGACACTACAATCTGTGCCCTCATTTATCCATTCATACAGCACTCTACTAGATCTCTACAAAGACTGATCAGTGCTTTATCACATTCATGGGACACACATCGGAGGCATTATGGGTTCAGTGTCTTGCCCAGGGACACTTAGGCATGTGACTGCTGGTGGAATCTAACCCCCAACTCTCGCATTGGAGGACAACTGCTCTAACCACTCAGCCACAGCCGCCACAAGTTAATATAGTTTCAGCAAGTTCCTTTTCTAGATCAGAGTTCATGTTCATGTTGGTAAAAAAATCCAACAAAAGTTCAGTCAGGTCCTCTGGACGGTTTCTTTGTGTTGAAACGCTTCATCTTTCATCCAAAACACTTCATCAGTCAGAGGAGCCACAGCCAGCTCAGTCTTAAAAGAACCCCTGCATAGTGGGTCAACCAGTTTGATGGTGCTAAGATGGTTTCTGGAGTCCACCCTCTCCCCCACCTCAATGGTTGACCCACTAAACAAACAAAGAATGACGTGAATGAAAGCTGATTTCGCCACTTTGGATGGAGCATGCAGAGGCCTTAAAACGTGTCTCACTATGACACGGCTACTGCCACATCCAAATTTATCTCAATAAATGTAGAACAGACTGAGTTAGAGTTATGTTTGTGTTGGCTAAAGCTGATTAGCTGCAGCCGCCATCTTGAATCAGGTTGATGCCGAAAGATAATCAGTTCAGAAGTGCATCCAAAAGTTTCTTTATGAGAGTTTCATTAAAATATGTTGAGTTGATGCACACACACACACACACAAAGGCAAAACCTACATTGCCAACCTTTCTTTTATTGGGGGCGATAAATCTGTACTCACATGTGTGTTCCAATTTCTTTGACCTCGTGATGTATCACATCATCAATGCAGCGCTCAGGCTTGAGCTCAGCCACTGCAGAGTTTGATGCTGAGAGATTGAGCCTCTGAGAGCTCGTCTGGAGATCAGCCTGTAAAAACAATCAGCCAATACATCAAAAATAATCAAGAATCACAAATGATGTTAAAACTGCATTCGTTCTGTCAGTTTCTGTTTAACGATACCTTCACAAGAATGTCTTTTACAACCTGGTTGCTGTCGTTATGCACACTTATATAACTGGAGAAAGTCTCACCAAGAAAAATATTTCTGCCGAATGCAAAAAGAAAAGGGTTTTACACAAAAACTGCTTGTGTGATAAAAATATAAAGTGGCACAAGAAAAAGAAGGTGATTACCCAAAGTTTTGTGGTAATGTCAGCATCTCTCCCAGCATTAATATCTCTGCTCCTTTGATGGTGGAGGGATCATCCCTCATAAGCTGACTGAACAAATCCCCTGTGAAGACACAAAACCTTGGATCACTGATTGTTTTCTGCATAGAGCTGAAGAAGTAATTAAACTAACAAACTGTGTTCAAACATAAACAGAGAGGGACAAGTTCATTTATATTATTATATTATATCATAAATTAGACAGAGAATTGACCCAGTGATGATTCTCCGTTTTCATTTTACAAACTACTTTTGGATGATTATTATCTATTATTATAATTCCCTTCTATGTGGCCTCTCCACAAATCCCTTCATAAGTTACAGATGATCCAGAGCTCTGCTGCCCGTGTCACCCAAACCCCCTCCTATAATCACGTCACTCCCGTCCTGCAGCAGCTCCACTGGCTCCTGGTTAAATCCTGCCTCATCTTCAAAATTCTTCTCTACACTTTGAAAGCCATCCACAATCTTGCCCATCTGACCTCCTGCATATCTTCATCTCCTCCTGCATATCTTCATCTCCTCCTCCTCCACCTCTCTATACCTTCTGCCTGCCTCACCACCATGGGGCACTGAACATGTTCCAAACTGGTCTTAAAACCCACCTCTTTAGATCAGCCCATCCTAATTTAGGCAGGTTTACTTTCTATTTTAATGTTTGATTTTATTCTATTTTTTTACTCTTATCATTACACATATTTTCTGCTGGATGTTGTTGTTTAGCTGTATACTGGTGAAGATTCTCAGTCATCCAGAACATGATAAATTTAAAAAACGTTCAATACAAAAACAACTAGACTTTATTTGTAGCGAGAGGAGAGTGAAGGAAGCAATTTATGTTAAAAGAGAAAAACCGCCTCTTCACAGAGGAGGCGGCCTCGGCTTTCCACTTTCAAAAACCTATAATGCAACTTTAAGACCGACTCCCAGCCAGTTTTCACACCTGATGGGAACTGAGGGGCCTCATCTGTGAATTAAGAGTAACAAAGACCTTAAGAAACCCCTACTGTTGAGGTGTGAGGTGTGAATTGTCAATCAACATGTGTATATGTATTTTATCTCAGCCTTATAACCTGAACACCTCACTCTCTGCTCTTTGAATTGAGAAAGCTCCTCGGATGAGGAGTGAAATGTCTTCTGTTACAAATAAAGTCCAATTGTTTCTGTATTGAACGTTTCTTTGTGTTTAGCTGTACTGTGTTGAGTAAGCCTGCTGAAGGTTGCCGATGGTCCGCACACCTTCTCCTCCTCTCCTCCTTACCGAGCCCTGAATCTGTCACAGTGACCTCAGCTACCTTGGGCAGTTCCTGGCTGGTCCTCTCCTCGTGGTGTTCCTGGTCTGATCCACCAGCAGAACCCCAGAAAGACGAGTGACCTTGTGCCGTCAAACTGACCCGGTAAGGAGCAGAAACCTGGTGACTTGGTGCAACGCTGGGTCTGGCTATTTCATTTTAGCTGCTGCAGCGTGATCAATCATTTCCTGACTTGCAGTGATGATAACGGACTTGATCTGGTCACTTTAAATAACTTCTCTCAACCAAAATCTGAAGCAACTATTAAATAGTTAACTTTGTCTAAATTAGTGTGTGTATAAAAACCTAAATAATTCCTGATCAAAGAGTTAATTTTGCTTTAGATTAAAAAAAAAAATCCTTGATTGCTTATTTATTATTTAGATTGTTCATTATTGTTTTAGTAATTACTTTAATACACTTCAAACAAGTTATTCTACGAATTATTATCAATTTTCATTTGTTGTTTTGATTTTGTTTAGTTTGATTAATTACTTTTGTAATAAAACTTCAAAGACAATTTTGGTCTCCTTCTTTGGATGAATTTTTATGTTATGGTATAAAACTCCCTGTAATTAACAGATTCTACTTCACTGACTGAGTCCTGATTATTAAAGGGTGACTATATTAATTAAGTTGTTGTTGCTGGTCAATAAATTGACCAGCTGGTACCCCACTTTAACGAGCGCAAAATAAGTAAATAAGTGTAGTGAGGAGCAAGTGTCATCCTTCTTCCTCTATTAACTTCATATATTCTACACCTGAAAGATGCTTTTTAAATAAAAATGTATTATTGTTCTTATTATGAATGAATTTCAGCACTAACTGTTGGTCTCAACAGTGTCCGTCTTTTAGCATAAATCCACAAATCACTGGAAAATGTAGGTGAAACTCTCAGGAAATTATTGTTGGCTGTACAAACACAAGTCAAAAATGAAGAGCCAGACCAATAAAAGATGGCTGCCACAGAATTTTACATACACTAAAATACATTTAGATGTGGTAGTAGCTGAGAGTCATTCTTAAAGCATGTTCTGAATGCTAACACCGGATCACACATTACTGCGTAAGACTGTTCGTTCATTGTTTACACGATTTCATTACAAGATCAACTTTCCTGTAACTAGTGCTTCTAAAAACAAAGACCCGTATGTTCTGTGCTGTCCAGTGTTCTGTTCGGTGCTGAACACTGGACAGAAAAAAGATACAAATCTGAACTTATGACCCAACATTTAAAATATTCTACCGTAAATGTGTAGTGAACCTAAAGGTATGTCTAAATACTCCTTAAATTATTGCATGTATTGTTTTGAATGTATTTATTTATTTTATCCTAAGCATCAAGTCTTTGTGTTTTAAGTATTTTGCTCTAAGACTCAAACTTTTTAGGTTCAGGAACACCTTACAGGGAGAAAAGTTTCAGGGACCTCCTCATAACATTCATGTTTATTAAATAATTTTTTCAATTAGTCTCTTTAATGCAATGGAAATATTTGTAACACGAATACTTAAGACATGTTCTTTAATAGTGTTAATTACGGGTGCACAGATTGCAGTTTTCTGGCCGATCACCGATCTCTAAAAAGTTTAACCTGCTGATACCGATTTTGTTTTATAAGCGACACCGTCAGGTGTTATAAGATCACAATGCACCTTCAATTTTCCAATATTATGTTATTGAAAAACATATCCTTGAACAATATCCTAGAAACAATACAAACTTGTTTTAACTGGCCATGAGGTAGAGCTCTGAAATATGAATGAAGTTCAGACAATTGTTAAAACTAAAAATATCTGTTCTCACGGAAGCATCGGCCGACTGCCGATCACCCAAAATTAAGGAAATCAGGGTTGCACCCCTAGTGTTAATACAATTTTTATACTTTTAAACATGAGGTATTTTTCATTCAAGACACACTTAATAAACAACATTTGTACTTTCATCTTCCAAGAATTAGTTTTGAGAAAATTAACAGTATCAAAAAACACTTTAAAACTTTTATCGATTCACACAATGAACAGAATAAATGTGTTGCCACTTCTCCAAATAATGACAGAAAACTCTTTACATACGAGTGAGCAGAATCATAGCAGCAGAAGTCATAGCAAGTACCAGGGATTAATCTTTAAACCGATTGATGCCAGAACACAAACAGCGGGCGGGCGGGTCTGGTGGTCCTCCCACAGAAAATTTTGAATAAAGTAGATGTGATTTCCTGGATTTTGGTGTATTTTAATGGTTTGTTAAAAATCTATGTGCTTGTAAGTACGGGTGCGCCGATAAATTGGCCGATTTCCTTAATTTTGGGAAATTGGAAATAGGCGGATACCTGAATAAGAAACTGACTTTAGTGATTTTTTTTTAGTTTTAACAACAATTGTCTGAACTTCATTCATATTTCAGAGCTCTACCTCATGGCCAGTTAAAACAAGTTTGTATTTTTTTCCAAGATATTGTTCAAGGATATGTTTTTCAATAAAACAATATTGGAAAATTGAAGGTGCATTGTGACCTTATAACACCTGACGGTGTTGCTTATAGAACAAAATCGGTATCGGCAGGTTAAACTTTTTAGAAATCTGCGATCGGCCAGAAAACTGCAATCTGTGCACCCCTACTTGTAAGTATATAAATAAATAAAATTTAATTAAAAAAAAAATAAAAATTGGGGCTTGGGGTCCACAAATTTTTTTTAAATTGCGGACCCTCAAGCGCCGGCTCGCGGACCGTCTGAGAACCACCACTCTCTTCTATGCACTAACTTTTGTTGTCTCCAATTTTGAGATAAGTTTTTAAACTATTATTTCATTGCAATAAATGAAGTAGGGATTTATTTCAAACCATCACTGTCAGTGTTTTTAAAAAGACATGGACTGAATAACAAAATAAACAAAAAAGAAACAATCCTCTTGAATTATTGTAGAACAAGATTGAAATAATCCCTAAATAAAATTAAGACTAAAATTCAATAATTTGTTTAATCAACCTGATGTTTTCAGTAAAGTGAATAAGACATTTAAGTTGAGGTTATTTTCCACCTTCATCTCTGTTTTTATGAGACCTGCATCAGGCATGATGTCAGATGTTCAACCTGACAGGTAGTTCTCTTTATTCAATTGTTTTTATAGCAGCTGCTCCAGTTTCCTTCCTATGTGATAATAAATCAGGTTTGGAGCAACATCTGTGGCTGTAATTTGTCACACTGCTGCTGTGTTCGAAGAGTCAGCAACATAATATTTTAATCTCATTTCCTGTTGATCTAAAAGACACTAATTCTGAATTGAGTGACTCAAACCAACCACATTTAAGAGCAAAGATGCTGAAGAAACAACAGCAAAAAGGACAGATAAGATTTGTGTGCAACATTGTTAAAAAGTGCAAAACATAGAACCAATAATCCATAAAGCAATGTATACGTAATGTAAGAAAAGTAAAAAATCATCTGGAAAACAGAAAAAAAAAAAAAAAACTTTTTTTTTTTCAAGCTCACCTGGAAGATCTCGATCCTCACACGTCACTGGCAAGTTTGTGAAAAGAGTTGGTTTGGTCAGCCGCATCACTGTGGAAATAAACGGCACTGGTTATTAACTTGATACATAAATATTAGTTCATTTATTGTGAAGATGCTTTTGCACTAAACTCCACCTCAACAACCCATTTCTACTGTACCAGAACTAGAACTTACAACAGCTTATGATCACTTGATCACTGAATACCTCCCGAGTCCTGCACTATTTTAACAATAAGGACAACAAATATAACAATACTTGGAATACATGTGAAAAGAAGTTTAAATAATGTAGGAATCGCTTGACTTAAATACAGAAACAAACTGAAAGTATTAAACAATTATGCAGAAATGTAATTATTGTATTACTGAAAAGTATTGTTATTACAGCAACATGGAGCAGCTGTGGCTGAGTGGTTAGAGCAGTCGTCCTCCAATGGGAGAGTTGGGGGTTCAATTCCACCAGCAGTCACATGTTGAAGTGTCTATGGGCAAGACACTGAACTCCTCATTGCCTCTGATGTGTGTCCCATTGGTGTATGAATGGATAAATATAATTATTATATATAATTATATTAATTATTAAGGACCATTATTGAAACGAAATCTTTAATCTGACAGACCTTGACCAAAACCAACACAATAATATAAATACAGTGTCTTGCGGGGACAGGGAAGATGGTCAGAATTGATGGGATTCTATTTCTCATCATCAGTCATTTGGGACAACATTGGATCATTCATAGATCCTCACTGGACTTCTGGATTGAGTTTTCTGCACTGAAAGTAAAGGGACCAAATATTATTGCACGCCACACTTTTCAGTTTTTTATTTGTTAAAACAGTTTGACACATCCAATAAATTTTATTCCACTTCACGATTGTGTCCCACTTGTTGTTGATTCTTCACAAAAAATTTAAATTTTATATCTTTATGTTTGAAGCCTGAAATGTGGCAAAAGGTTGAAAAGTTCAAGAGGGCCGAATACTTTCGCAAGGCGCTGTATTTAAAGAAAAAAAAGTGTAGTGCGTACAGTTTACAACTATTAATAACTATTCAAAACAACTTCTACAAACTTGGAAAGCAAGTCATCCAAAACAGGAAGAAAACTATTAAACAGTCAGAAATTTTACCGGCAGTTTTTTATTATTATTATTTTATACAGGAAATACAAGAAAATACAGGTTAAACATTTTAGCATTTTGTAAAAAAATATAAAAATAAAAGTATGTATTTACGCATTTACTTTAAACCTAATGACTTTTTATTTAAAAAAAAAAATCAACATAGTGGGCACAGAGATTACACTAGAATGCACACTGGTCACATGACCTTGTGATTCACTGCAGCCATAACCAAAACTACCGTCTGAGTAAGAGCTGACTTTGTCAAATATAATAATAATGTGTATGTAATATAATAACGTACCAGTACCTAAAAATGACAGAAAGCTGCGAGTGCTGCGGTAAAAGTGACAGAAGAAGGAAAACATGAACGTCTCCTTTCACAAGTCAACAGATTTTATTTTATTTATCTGAATGTGATCTGAGCAGGACTGAAGTTCATAATTTAACCATTTGAAAGCAGCTTATAAAGCTAATGTAATCGCTCTTTATCATTGAACTAGTTAATAGAGAGGGGGCCGCTGTGGTGCGGATGTGGGGCAGCCGACTTGGGACCAGAATGTCGCAGGTTCAGCTCGTGCCGTCTCTGAGCGACACTTAATCCCTAATTGCTCCCTGGGCGCATACATAGCTGCCCACTGCTCCACCTGGCTGATCTCAGGTGTGATGGGTTCAATGCAGAGAACTAATGTCATCATTGAATGGGAACATACAATGATGACAAAACACAGCAAAAAAAAAAAAAAAAAAAGCTTCTGTGGCAACTCTTGCTATGCTGTACAGACTGAATCATGTTACAGTTTAAGACAAATTATTAAATAGTACAAGCTGCTGTTGGCACCAGTAACATTTCATTATCTGCTCTCTTTGCATGAATCCTGAAAAAGTACTTTTTAAACTTGGGTATAGATTAGACAGACACTGATCAATGCAACTAGCTGCAGCTAGCAGAGCCTACAGATACACAATTTACATGTTAAACAGTAAGTTTAAAATTAATCAACCAGTTAAAAGTCATAATTATTGAAGCAGATAAAAAGTCTTGAAATCAGAAGTTTGAAGTCCGTCATTAATTATTGACCAACTTCATGTAGATCATAATATGTTAGACCCAATATATTTTATTTGTATAACATCTACCGGTTTTACACGATTATTGTATGAAATGATCATTATTTATGAATAGTTATTGTAAGGATACTAAATATTTGTGCCACAGATCCAGTTGGGCTTACTGCTATGTAAAGAGTTGGCAGCTGTCGGCAGCGAGCAGTTGTCCATTTTAGACACCCTCTTAGCTTTTTCATGTCTCAAATGTAAATCATAGGTGGGATGAGCCTTTTCACGGATACTGCCAGTTTTGTTTAGAGCCAAGTATTGTGATCCTGTTTAGGGGCACCCGGTGTGTGAACGAGTGTTGAAATGGGCCGTGGCGATCGCTGTGCTGTGCACATGTGCAACAATGATTGCACGTTCAAGAACACGTGAGAATATAAGTAATAATTTAACGTCAGATAGTCGCACAGAGATCTAATATTAAAGGTCTAGTATTATAGAATAGATATACTATTATAATATAGGTCTAGTATTATAGTAAAGGTCTAGTATTAGAAGTCTAGTATTATAGTATAGGTCTAGTATTAT